TTAAAAATAAAAAAGAATAAAGTGTGAACTAAAGAAAAAAATAGACACAAAGATAAGAAAGGAGAAAGGATTCCCCACCCCCACCCCAGACGCCCACCGTGGGGACCCGTTGTTCATCCTCAGTCTCTCAGTCCTGGCGTTCTGTTCGCCTCCTAGAATCTGTTTTGGTTCGGCATCGGGAAGGCCACAGTTCTCCTGCTGCCCGCTGTCATCATCGCAGTCAAGCTGTCCAAGTACTATCGCCGCATGGAGTCCGAGGACGTGTATCATGAGTAAGTGAGGCTCCAGGCCTGGGCGTGCTCCCAGCAGGGGCTCCGATGGCACCCTGCGGCACCAGGGGGTCTTGGGCCCTCCCTGCGGTGACTCTTGTGTGTAGAGACTTACCCACACTTTTCTTTCTTCTTCTCTCATCTTCTCAGCCCTACTGACTGCCTCTTTTTCTCTCCTTTGCAGTTCCTCTGTCTCGGGGACCTGGCACTTTACTTTATGATAACTGTCTTTACTGGTTTTCCTTTGGGCTGTATGGTCTGTCTGGTGAACGTCTGTAGTTCTGTTCTTCATTTCACCCCTCTCTTGCTCATCGTCGTCCCTCTTGGACTTGCATGCCCGCCAAACACCAAGATTAGAGTCATTAAAAGACTGGATTCAGCTGTTGAGCTTTATTTATGATTACAAACCAATAATTCTATCTCATTTTTTTTTTTTGTATCTTATAGTGTTGAAACTGTACCCATGAAAAAGTAAGCCTGGTTTATTTTTTTAAAACTATATTCCCGAAATGGGTTGGGGAGGTTTTAATGATAATATAGTTAAACTTTTAAACTTAAACAAATAATATCTTACTATTAATGAATAGCAGTTTTGTGGTTGTTAAGTACTGTCGAGTCAGAAATGACTCATAGCTGACCCTCCAATTGGTTTTCAGAGACAGTAAATCAAACAGGAGGAGATTGCCCAGCCCTCTCCTCTGGAGCAGCTCGGGGATTCGAACCACGTGCCTTTGGAATTGTAGCACAGCTTCTTACCATTCATTACTTGGCTACCAGAGCTCATTTAGTTCTGTTCTAATACAAATTCTGAATCCTCTTAGAAAGAGTGTTGAAATACAGAAGCTGCTTAAGAAATACTTGTTGAATTATTTTCTTTTTAAATTATACATTTAATTAATAGACTATTATGCAGTGGGATTTTAAAATTAAAACATCTTAAAACTTGGTGAATTAATAGGCATTCTGTATGTTAAATTAAGATACATTATAAGATAATGAACTTTTAAAATCCAATTAATGAGAGCTTAAAAGAGAGACATTCAGGTAGAAATAAATCTTAAAGACTTTAAAATTGAGTCAGCCATTTAGAAACGGCTCAAGAAATGCTAGTTGAATGAAGACAGAAAATGCATATATTAAATTAATCTACAAAATAGTAATTTCCATATTTGATTTGCAAGTGGGCCTCCGTGTAAATAGACCCACTTAACGTCCTTGTTGATTGAGTGTGTTGCCACCTACTGTTCATGACCTTGACCTTGTCTTTGTCATCCCCCGTGTGAGTTGTATGTCACAGAGGTAACGGAGCCTTTCTGGTGTATTTGTTTCTGTTGCAGTATGGAAAATGGTAATTACGGTTATCATAAAGATCACTTATATGGTCTTCACAACCCCGTAATGACGAGGTAAAGCCTACGAGGGGGATGCATGCCTCTCCCTGTCAACACCACCCTCTGCGGAGCAGGCGCTGGACCTTCTGCATGCCTTCAGCGCTGCCCCTCATCTTTGCATGCTGACCTGTGCATGGCTCATCTTCAGTCAGCTCTACAGAGCGTCCAGTGATGTCCTGTATTAAAATGATTCCCTAGATTTTTCAGGAACAGAATTGCTCAGCATGAAAACGGGATGTCTTGAAACGCTCTGTAGACTGTTATGGGCGAAATGCATGCTGTTTGCCCTTTTGAATTTCTCCCCCCGACTCCCTCTGACTGGTTGCCTTCTATGAAGTGCTTCTCCTCCTTCTCGGCTCTTTCTCCCTTTCTGATCAATTTGCTGTAGGCAATCAAAACTAGAACCCCAAACCGTCCTCCAAATCCTTCTTAAATATCCGTGCTCTAGGACTAGGGTCACTGGGAATTGGAATCGACTGAAGGCAGTCAGCTGCATTTCAGGACTGAGAAGCTTCTGCGGCTGTGGTTAGTGACCTGGGGCCTTAACTGCCTGAGGTCTTTCTGACTCTGAGCTACCAGTTCAGACCTCATGTCCACCCTGGACAGGTCGGCTCAGGGGCGGCGGTGCCAGCATGCCCAGACACTTGTTGGAAGCAGCAGGTGCTTCCTGAAGGAGGTGTCATCTGTGGAAAGCTTGCTTGTTTACCTTTGTGTGAAGAAGAGCCACAAGGCTTTAGCACAACCCAGATAAGGCTCCTTAAGCCCTTCTTTTGGCTGCATCTGCTTCCGCAGGATGTCGACATGGGCGTGAAAGTGTCCTTGGCAGGGGAAGGAAGGAGTGGCCGGCTTGGACCCTTCCACCCGGCATGGGGGAGATCACATGAGAGTAGAAAGGTTGTTTTCTTTCTTCCTTTAGAGAACTTTTTTAAATTTTATTTTATTAATTTTAATGAACATTTACAGAGATTTTGGATTTCCATTCATTCGTTGTTGCATTTTTCTCCCTGCCCACCCTTCCCCCTGTGTTCGCCCTTCTCTTTGAAAAGTAAAAGGAAAAATTCCTTCTTGGTATACAATTCCCCACACACACACTGAATACACTGCACTATGCACCCTTCATTCTGGACTCCTGTCAGAACCAATAATACTCAATCATATATACTTCATTGTGAATATGTAGACATTTTCTTTCCCTTTAGCTCAGAGATCCAGAGAGAAAGTTGCACCCACCTGTCCACGAAATTCGGGGGGAGCTGAAGCAAGCGTCTGTCCGCACCCACAAAGCCCACTGCCTTTGAATCATTTCCAACTCAGACTAAAGGGCCTGATCTAGCTCTGCCCCGTAGGGTGTCCAAGGCTGTAAATCTTTACCGAAGCAGACTGCTGCATGTTTTTCTTTGGAGCAGCTAGGGGGCTTGAACCTCCTACCTTTCAGTTACCAGCCAGGCACTTAGCTGTATAAGCAACAGGAATCCCACCTCACAGGGCCCCTTGCTCCCTAGAAATGATCACCAAAGTTTGAAACTACAGTCAGTCAGTTGCTGATGCGTTGCGTCCACCTTGTGGCGAGCTCAGGTCCAACTGTTCACACAGTTTTCAGTGGCTGGTTCTACAGAGGTAAATCACCAAGCTTTTTTTCCCAGACGACTTTGGGGAGACCACCGTGGCCCCTCAGCGTATGTCCCCCTAGAGAATGAAGCACTGGTACAGCTCTCTTGTTAATTCTCCCTGCAGCCAATCATGAGACTCAGGGAGTGAAGGTTACAGCCAAGGTCACACAGCGAATCAGGAACCATGCTAAGATTCTAGGAAGACAGTATGTAGTCCTTGTCCTGGTCTCTGAAGGTCCCAAAGAGAGGTGCAGAGAGGGGTCCTGACCATCTCCCTACTCTACTCTGATGACCACTGGGCTGGCAGAAAAAGGAGTGAACAGAGACCAATAGCACCAGAAGGTTTTGTTCCTCTGTAAAGGACAGAAATCAATGTCCAGATGAGATTTTCCTCTTTAATGTTGACAGTATTGGGGGACGGGGGGCGATGTCATGAGAGAGTAGATGGACTGTGTCTACAGATGGCCTCTTACCCAGCTCTGCTTGTCAGCTGGTGATGCCCTCTCCTGTGCTGCAGGGGGTTCTTGGAGAAGTAGGGGCATCCAGTCCAACTAGACTGAAGCAAGTGGACCCCCAGGAGGGCTACAGGAGTATCAGCTGGACCTCGCCCTCTCCTGCTAAGGAAGGGGGTCTGTAGGATCCCCCCACTGCTGTGTTTGAGGCTGCTGGTATTAGGCACCTACCTAAGCCCTTTGGTCTGCAGTGCAAACTACAGTGTGTCACTGGGAAGCAAGTCCACTTCCTGTGCAGCCTACGGTCTGTTATCCAGGCCGCCCAAGGCCCTTTGTGAGAGAGAGCTGGACACTGAACCGAAGCCAAGCCCCTGAGTGGGAAGATGAGCCTGAGACATTTGCTCTGAGGAGAGAAGGTCACAGTGTCGTTGTTTATGGTGTTGGACAGCTGGAGTTGGGATTCAGATCCAAGCCCTCATGCTCTGAAGCAATGGGCTCCCGAGAGATGGTCTCATGAAGGAAGTGCCCAATCCTCTCTTCTCATGAGGAGCTCTGGAGGGACCTGCAGTGGCCCGAGTTGGCTGGGGTGACTCACATCTTGCTCACATCAGATCCGCAGGCCAGCCTCTTTTCTAGGACACGGTGATGTCCACTGTGTGGCTGTGTGTGGGAAGAGGCCCTACGGCGCTTGCTGTCCGGCTAGATGCCCCTCTTCATGAGAAGGTGTGTTGTCTGTGCTCCAGCTGTGCCTGAGACGGTGTCCACCCATCCGGGCGATGCTGTGTGAGCCCCAGGAATCTCACCGCACAGGGCCCCTTGCTCCCTAGAAATGATCACCAAAGTTTGCAACTACAAGTCCGTCAAGTTGCTGACGCATTGTGTCCACCTCATGGCAAACTCAGGTCAGAGTTAAACTGTTCACACGGTTTCCAGTGGCTGGTTCTTCAGAGGCAGAGCATCAAGCTTTTTTCCCCCAGATGACTTTGGGGAGACCTGAACCTCCAACCTTTGATAGCATCTGAGTGCTCACCCGTTTGTTAACACTCGAAAATTCAAGAGCTATGTCTTGGAGAAGGTGCAGTCAGATTGCTCCTTGGAGGCGAAGATGATGAGGCTTCATCTCAGACCCTTTGGGCATATTGCTTGGACAAGATTCCTCGGAGAAGGACATCGTGCTTGGAAAGGTGGAAGGACAATGAAAGAGAGGAAGACCCTCAAGCAAGTGGATTGACACGGTGACTGCAGCAATGGTCTCGAGTGTGTCAGACATTGTGAGGACGGCACAGGATAGGACAGGATTCAGCTCTGTTGTTCAGAGGGTCGCTCGGAGTCGTACTCGATCGGACGGCACCTGACAACAACGAGCACTCCACTGAAGCCCAGTCCTCCATGGCAGAGGACTGTGGACAGTAGGGGAGACTGAGCTAGTGTTCACTCGTGGGGCCTGGCTGCTCCCTTCCCCCAAACCTCTGAGCCACTCAAGAAAGAACATGTCCTATTCTCAAGAACATAATCGGGCATAGAAGAAGATGCATGCAGGCCAAACATGTAGACTTTTCATCGGCATCAGATCACCCATTTAGCAAGGTAAGCGCAACCTGTCTTGTGTTTGCTTATGAATCAGTAATGAGGAATTTCACAGTTACTTACAACAAAGGTTGTCTTCTATATACAGCGTAACTGGCGTCTGTTTATCTATAAACGTTTCCTCACCTTCCTCTTCAGATTGAAGTTCCTGATACAAGATACTGTTGTTGATCCTTAAATTCTCTAATATAATAGTGCCTAACTGACATAAAAAGTAATCATAAAAAAATTATCATCAGAACAGAGCAAGGAAACACTACATGGTTCAAAATTGGGAAGGGCGTACGCCAGGGATGTGTCCTGTCTCCATACCTTTTCAACCTATATGCAGAACAGATCATCCGGGAGGCTGGGCTCTATGAGGAGAAATGTGGCATCAGGATTGGAGGAAGACTCATCAACAATCTGCGTTATGCAGATGACACAACCCTGCTTGCTGAAACTGAGGAGGACCTGAAGCGCTTGCTGCAGAAGGTCAAGGACTGCAGCCTTCAGTATGGACTGAGGCTCCATATCAAGAAAACAAGGATTCTCACCACTGGGCCAACTGGCAGCATCAGGATGGATGGTGAAGAGATTGAGATTGTACACAGCTTCAGTTTGCTTGGCTCCACAATCAACACTCTTGTCACCAGCAGCTAGGAAAGTAAAAAATGTATTGCATGGGAAAGTCTGTGGTTAGAGACCTCTCTAAAATAGAAGAGCAATGAAGTCAGTCTGGAGACTAAGGTGTGCCTGATACAGGCCATGGTCTTTGCAATCACTATGCATCAGAGAGCAGGACAATGACTAGGGATGATAGAAGGAGAACTGATGACTTTGAGCTGTGGTGTTGGAGAACAGTATTGAATATACCATGGATTGCTAAGAAAACAAACAGGTTTGTCTTGGAGAGGGTGAAACTAGGAAGCTTCGTCTGGCATACTTTGGACATGTTGCAAGGAGGGTCCGGTCCTTGGAGAGGAACTTCATGCTTGGGAGGGTGGAGGGACAGCACAGGAGAGGAAGACCTTTGATAAGATGGATTGATTCAGTGAATCGGGTAATGGGGTTAGGTGTGTCAGAGACAATGAGATTGGCACAGGATAGGGCAGGGTTTAGGGCTTTTATACATAGGGTTGTTATGAGTTGCAGGTGACTCAATGGCACATAACAACAACAGGTGACATCAAAGATGTGGAATCCATGGGAATCTCTTCCCTACTGATCAGTAAGTTGTAGTAGTTGTTGTGTACCATTCCATCAGAACTGACTCCTAACTGACCCTCCAGAGGAACTTCAGAGGCAGTAAACTGTGCAGGAAGGAGATTGCCCATCTTTCTCCCAAGGAGCCTGTGGTGGGTTAGAACCACACACACTGTGGCCTCATTGGAAGAAGCTGCACTGCGCTCCCAAAGGCACCGCTGGAAGGCTTCACCAGCTGCTCCTCTGGAGAAGGATAGACGGTCTCCTCCCATGTGATAAACTGCCTCGGAAAAGCATCTGGAGGGTCAGCAGTGGGTCGGGTCCAGCTGGACGGTGCACGGCCAGCTCCGCCTTTGGGTTGACAGTGCTGTTCCTTACCACTGAGCCGTCAGAGCTCCTCAATTCAGCTCAAGCTTACCTTGCTTACGGCTCTGCCTCGGACCCCCCAGGAAGGAGCACTGGGCCTTGCAGATGATCTTGGGGTCCACTTTGCCTTAAACTTCAGAAGCCCTGCAGCTAAGCAGTGGGAGGACCAGGGTCGCCTCCAGGATCGGAGACTTTCTCATTTGCCCAGAAGCACAACTGGGCAGGGGAGGAATCAGAGTCCAAGTTCACAACTGCAGACCCTCCACATGGAGTTCACAAGCCTTTTTCTGGCATAGACCTTCCTGGTTGTCAAGGCTGTGATCCTGGAAGGTACTAGCTCCGCACTTAGCGCCCGTCTCATTACCTGCCAGTCTACGCTTGTGACCATACTAACAATCTGTCTCACTGCTTTATGCTGTTGGCGTTGGGTACTGTTGGGTGGGACCCATAACCTACCTGTCAGTGGGTGTTCAGAGGCAGTCAGTCTCACAGGAGGAGAT